GGCATCATTGATGGACTCAAGTGTGGCAGCGGTAGTGAGGTTGGCCCAAGATCGGACATTGTTTCGTTCTGCTGTGCATGGGGTCGCTATGAGTCTGTTCCGACTCGATGGCACCTGACAACAACAACAACATGGGTCGGAATTGACACGTCAGCACTTAACAATGACAACAACAACTACCCTAAAGGCTGGCAGTTCAAAGCCAGCCAGCAAAATAAAGTGCTGCTTCTGTGAAGATTATAACCAAGAAAACCCCATGGAACAGTTTTACTCTGCCACACACGGAGTAGTCATGAGGTAGAATTGTTGGTTTAGTCATACATCATAGGCTGATTTTAAAATAGAAATTAAATACAATTTAGAAAAAGAAGTTTCACCAAATGATACTTATTACTTGTGATGTACTCAAATTGCACCTACTCTTCACTTATCAAGGATCTCATGATCTGACATTTGTATTTACTACAGTAGTAAAAATCTACTATCTAACAATTTTGCACATTGCTGACATAAATCTGGGAGTAACAAACACCAAGGTGTGAGGCAAGTGTAACACGGCTGTGATAGTTCTAGTTATGGATCAACATGGCTGGGACATGATTTTCAGTGGTTTGGCAGACGGTAATGATGTAATCATCCTCCATTTTCCCATAATGACCTAGTCTTTGGAACCTAACCATGTAAGTAGGTGAGGAGTGAGTGTTTTCAATGTCATACTCTTATTAAAGGGGAAACAATATACTGTCCAAGGATCCAGTTCATTGGGTATAACCTTTATACTTTTGCCTGTACTGTACAAATTCTTCAACACTTCCTTTAGGCAATAGAAGATGCTCAGTAATTTACAGTGCTGATGACAATGATGATGGTGAGCTGAAAACAAAGCGATGTTGTAACTAGACCAGTTTCGATTAGTTGCAATGGCTAATGCAGGTGAGTCTGAAAGGCAACTGTAGGAGGATGGGAGAGAGAGAGGATGGATGTAACATTGTACTGGAAGAGGAGATAGGCCTCGGTGTTAGAATATTTGTGGGGTAAGTAGAGACGGACCACTCAAAAGGTCTTTGGTCCAGAGCCTGGAAGCTAGTTCTGGTGGTGTGGGATTTGAATACAGAGAGGTAAGAAGCTGTGCAAGTACTTCAAAGCAGAGCTTAAAACAGCCAAAGAGCATGTGGCAATCAGCAGCAGACTGTGGGAGAGCTCTGGATTAGCAGTTGGCCAATTCTGGAGTTCTGGTGTGCGCCATAGGATAAGCACTGGACGGCAAGGTTGGTTTGAATCACAAGATCAGCCGCTCCTATGAAACCCTATACAGAGTCACTGAGTCGGAACCAACTCTGAGGCACTTAACAACATTAGTAATCCTGGTCGTATTACCATTTCACTGTATGACTTTGGGCAAGTCTTTTTCTTCTATAAAGGGGTTGGATTTGATGTTTTCATTGTACACTGTTCCCTTGAAGGAGAGACACACGCGTCAACTGACAGTGGGGCAGCCCTGTGGAATGACAGAAGGAGGCCGAATTTGAGCTTCACAGCGAAAGACTGGCAAGAATGTAAGACACAGAGGAGGGGCCACAGACTGAGGAGCACAAGGGGCTTCCTTGGGTACTTTTTTCTGACAAGCAACAGGCTGTCCTGGTGTTTTTTCACCATCTATCTTCGTGATACTGCAGTAAGAGAGAAACTTCATCCTTGAGTAAGCCTCCCTCTATAAAGCCTGGATCCTGGCCCTTCCGTGACCCCGGCTGTGACCCCTGCGCCCCGGGGAGCCGCTGGAAGTCGAATGGTGGCAGTGCTGCAAGCGCGGCAGCTGTGCCCGTCTGCCCAAGGGTTAACCCGTTCCCCTGCAGCTGCCAGGCGTGCCTTGCAGAATTTCACCAGAAGAGGGTACAGTTTGAAAAGCTCTTGACGTCAGGCTGGAATTCCTATTGTGTTTAGAAACGGCTTGGGCACAGTAAGCCCGAGTTAGCTCTCAGCACACCTCGGCGGACGGTGTCGGTCCAGCAAGTCCCGGACACGTCCGGTGCGGGGAGTGCACACAGGGATCGGAGCGGCTCCGGGACAGGCCCACCACTTCCTGAGCGCCTCGGGGTAGAGGACGGTGCCTGTGGCCCATAAGGGGACCCCACTCCAGCATCAGGCAGAGCTGAAGCTGCGGATCGCGCAGTCCGGGAGCCAGGAGTGAGTGCCCTCGGCCAGGCGGGTGCGGGTTAGGGTGCTCCAGCCGGCGCGCTCCAGCCCTCGTATGCCCGCCTGGAACCCAGTCGCTTGTTGCATGCCTCCCCCGATAAGCTCCCCGGCCGGCTGCTGCCCGCTGTGACTCGTCCCTTTTTGGCAGTAGGGTGCCGGTAAGATTTTACCCCAGGGCCACGCACTTGTGGGATCCAGCGCACAACCCGAGGCCGCGAGGGCAGAAGCCGGGAGGATGGACGAGTCCGGAGAGCGCAGCCTCCCGGAGCTGGGCAGTCAGGGTTCTGGAGGCGGTGAGGACATTGAGATCATCGTGAATGTGGGGGGCGTGCGGCAGGTGCTGTACGGGGACCTCCTGAGCCAGTACCCCGAGACCAGACTGGCGGAATTAATTAACTGCTTGGCCGGGGGCTACGACACCATCTTTTCTCTGTGCGACGACTACGACCCAGGGAAGCGCGAGTTCTACTTTGACAGAGATCCTGACGCGTTCAAGTGTGTCATCGAGGTGTATTATTTTGGAGAGGTTCATATGAAGAAGGGAATCTGCCCCATTTGCTTCAAGAACGAGATGGACTTCTGGAAGGTGGACCTCAAGTTCCTGGACGACTGCTGTAAGAGCCACTTGAGCGAGAAGCGAGAGGAGCTAGAGGAGATAGCGCGTCGAGTGCAGCTCATTCTGGACGACCTGGGCGTGGACGCGGCCGAGAGCCGCTGGCGGCGCTGTCAGAAGTGCGTATGGAAGTTCTTGGAGAAGCCCGAGTCGTCGTGCCCGGCGCGAGTGGTGGCTGTGCTGTCCTTCCTGCTCATCCTAATCTCTTCAGTGGTTATGTGCATGGGTACCATTCCCGAGCTGCAGGTGCTGGACGCCGATGGTAACCGCGTGGAGCACCCGACGTTGGAGAACGTAGAGACGGCATGCATAGGCTGGTTCACACTGGAGTACCTGCTGCGCCTCTTCTCCTCGCCCAACAAGTTGCATTTTGCCCTGTCCTTCATGAACATCGTGGACGTGCTGGCCATCCTGCCATTCTACGTGAGCCTGACACTCACTCACCTGGGCGCCCGCATGATGGAGCTGACCAATGTTCAGCAGGCGGTGCAGGCACTGCGCATCATGCGCATAGCACGAATCTTTAAGCTGGCACGCCACTCCTCTGGTCTGCAGACCCTCACCTACGCTCTCAAGCGCAGTTTCAAGGAACTGGGGCTGTTGCTCATGTACCTGGCTGTGGGCATCTTTGTCTTCTCCGCTCTGGGCTATACCATGGAGCAGAGCCACCCCGAGACCTTATTTAAGAGCATCCCTCAGTCCTTCTGGTGGGCCATCATCACTATGACCACAGTCGGCTATGGTGACATTTATCCCAAAACCACACTGGGCAAGCTCAATGCAGCCATTAGCTTCCTGTGCGGTGTCATTGCCATTGCTTTGCCCATCCACCCCATTATCAACAACTTCGTCAGGTACTACAACAAGCAGCGGGTTCTGGAGACGGCAGCCAAGCATGAGCTGGAGCTAATGGAGCTCAACTCTAACAGTGGAGGAGAAGGAAAGACCGGGGGCTCCCGGAGTGAGCTGGACAACCTCCCGCCAGAGCCCCCAAGCAACGAGGGTCCTAGGTGGAACAGCCGACTGAAGATCTCCCACAGTGACACCTTCATCCCCCTCCTGACGGAGGAGAAGCATCATAGGACCCGACTCCAGAGTTGCAAGTGATGAAGGGCATCCCAGGCAAAGAAGGACTGGTAAACAGAAGGACAGGTGCAATGTGCTTGATGGCAACTGTCTGAGAGTAGCTGTCCTTTGTCCCCCTTCCCTTTCTTGAACAGAACTCACTCTGAAGGCCCTCTTGGGCATCTTTCAGAAGGCTGGGTAAGACTCCTTTGTGTTATGACTGTCCAGGAGCCCGTGTGGAGGGAGAGGTGTCCGGGAGCCATGGGGCATCATGGGGTGGGGGCTGAATGGAGGCTGTAGTATATAGATGGTGGTGGGAGCTCATGCCTGGTTCTGTATCTCCTTCAATAAATCCTTCTGCTCTGTGCACCCAACCTGAGTACTAGGTTCTGTCACAGGCTGATTATCATCCCCAAGACCTGCCTCAGACATACCCCAGTGCCAGGCCAGGAGGTAGGTGTGCAGGGGAAGGGGGTGATATTTTTAGCTGGGAGCTAATTAAAGAAGGGCTCATATTCAGATTTCAGCGCCAAGGAGCTTTGCCACATTCCAGGAGGCTCTGTGCTGATGATGATTCTTTCATTTGCTTTCCTTCTGGGAAAATCTCAACCCCTGAGCACTCCGTGGAGGTGCATGAGTTCATAGATCAGGGAACACTGAGCAGCTAGGGTACTCTTTATTTATTACCTGTGTGGGGCCCTTTTAAAACATTCTCTATTCATTCCAGCGACTCTGCTAGATAGATGTCTCTATTTTACAAATGAGGAAACTGAGGTTGAAGATCACACAGAGAAGGATTTGATCCAATGTTTGATAATCCCAAAGCCCATATATGCCCTCTGACCCCAGATGGCCTTAAGACAGAGGTACATGCTTGGGCCCATGGAGAAAGGGTCTGCACACCAGGAGAAGTGCTGAGCTTCTTCATGTGGAAATGCCTGTCCCCTTGACTCCTCCTTCTGACACAAATGTCTTTCATGTATCAGCTAAAGTGATAATTGTAGGCATGGCCACAGACAGACAACTGTCAGAGCTGTAGGAGAATGGAATCAGATACATCTGGGTTTGAACAAACCCAGGGAATGAAGAAGATCTGTGAAATGTATAATAGCTTAAACTCTTTTTGATAGCAACCCTCTTCCTTGGAACACTTGCTTATTAGCTCAGTTACCTTAAAATTAAACCTGTTGATTAACCTCTCTGGTCCTTATTCTAATTACTTAGTGGAGTCCTTGGAGGCTGCAAATAGTTAAACACTCAAATTCTAACCCAAAGATTGGTAGTTTAAACACACCCAGAGGGACTTTGGAAGAAAGGTGATTTGATTCTGAAAGCTCACAGCCAAGAAAACTGAATTTATTAAATGGGGATATAATTACCTCAGAGAATCATGGTGCTTAGCACCTAGTAATAGCACAATTTGTTGTTGTTAAATGCCGTCGAGTCGGTTCCGACCCATAGTGACCCTAAACAGGATTTCTGAGGCTGTAAATCTTTACGGGAGCAGAAAGCCTCAACTTTCTCCCGCAGAGCAGCTGGTAGTTTCGAACTGCTAACCTTGCGGTTTGCAGCCCAATTCGTAACCACTACGCTATCAGAGCTCCTTATCACAATAAATGATAATAATTTCTATGACTCTGTGCTAGGAGGGAATAAGTTGCATCTTCACAGGTCTGAACTGGACATACAGATTGGGGAGGGGGAAGGAGAAGAATATTGTACAGTCTTCTCAGCCAAAGGCAGTTGGCTCTGGCAGGCCCTTCTCTCTGGCTTTCCACTTTTTTCACACCCAGAGCTCTCTTTCTGTCCTCAGCTGATACACCTGGAGTAGGGGAGAAGCCCTGCCCTGCAGGAGGTTGGGGTAAGGAGGGTTGAATTTATGGGCTAGTGCTAGTGATCCACCCTGGACTTACTAATTTCATCTTAGTATAAAGAGGAATCATTTTAGCTTCTGCTCTGACGTTGTGGGATTTCTAAGTCTTGGACTGCATGGTGGGTGTGGTGGGGGACTTTGAAGGGTTGGGAGGCTGCTATGTTGTAGCCTCGGAGGGGAGAAACAGGGCCATTCCTTTGCGGTCAGGACCCTGAGCCACTGCTGGGCACCCCTCTATCACAGTATCTTCAGGAAAATTCTAGGGCACCTGACCATCAAAGGCAGAGGAATGAGGGGGGTGGTTTAGGACACACAAGTGAGGTTCTGCAGGAGGGATGAGGAGGTGCATCCCCCAGGGTCATCTTGAGGTTTGTGTGTGGGGTGTAGTGTGTACATCCCTAGGGCTCAGTGGGACTTGCTAAATGGTGGGTTGCTCCCTCTCTTTGTCCCCATAATCCTTGGGAAGCCCTAAAGCTTGTGTTAGCCTGAGGGTTCAGAGTCTGGAAGGGGGAGAAGCTCAGAGATTAGAGAGAGAGACCAGGGCAGCTCTGAGTGGGGAGGCTGCCTTCTCTGCCATTCACCTGGGGCAGAGGGAGGGTGGTCAGAGGTATGTGTTTACAGACCTAAAGGCTGATCAGCACTCATCTAGTCCATGTAAAGAGGAAACTGAGTCCCAGAGAGGAAAAACAGTTTGTCTGGAACCATTTGTAAACTGAGGTTAGACAGGGTCCTGGGCCCAGAGGGGTCTCAGAAGGGACAAAAAACTCTTATATGGTGACATCCTTTGTCACAGAGGAGTGACTAGGGACTTCAGGAAGCCCTCATTTCCTGAGGAATCCTTGTGGGTACTGGTCTGAAACTTTGCTGGGCACTAGAACCACCAGGGGAGCTTTAAGAAACTTCAGCATCCATTACATGAAAATTTCTGAGAGTGACTCTTAGACATCTGTTTTTGTTTTTTGTTTTGTTTTTAACTCTAAAGTGCTTATGTGTCAACTGGTGATCTTGTTAAAATGCAGGTTTTGAATCAGTAGGGCCCTTGGGATTCTGCATTTCTAACAAGCTTCCAGATGAAGCTGATGCTGATGGTCCAAGGACCACTCTTTGAGTAGCAAGAAGCTAGAGTGGGGTTTAGCAAACAACAACCTGCAGATAACAACTGTCAGACAGACAGGTGGACTGCCGTCTCTGTGTGTACAGATCATGAGTTAAGAATGATGTTTACATTTGTCAATGGTTAAAAAGAAACCAAAGTGAGAATCATATTTCGTGACATGTGAAAATTGAAATTCATGAAATTCACATTGAAGTGTCCGTAAATAAAGTCTCATTGGAACAGAGCCCTGCTCATTTGTTGGCGTATTGTCTGTGGCTCATTTCACACTACAGTGGCAGAGCAGAGTGGTTGCAACTGAGATCATATGGCCCTCAGAGCTTTCTATATTTACTACCTGGCCCTTTATAGAAAAATTTGCCAAGCCTGGGCTGTGGGAAATAATAATTTACGTCAGATCTTGAAGATTGAGTAGAACTATCCTGGAAGTAAGGAGTCTGGTGTGGCATTGTGGTCTAATGTTTGAACTGCAAGGTCGGTGGTTCAAGCTCACCAGCTACTCCTTGGAAACCCTATACAGGGTCACTATGGGTCAGAATCAATTCAACAGCACTTAACAACAACAACAATCCTGGAAGAAGAAGCAGAAGGAACATTCCGAGCAGCTGGAATAGGGTAAGCAAAGACAGGCATGTGCGGGTCACTTGAGAAAGAAGAGGTCTGCTCTTACACCACAGGGCAATTACATGGATAATGGCTAAGAGGCTTGCCCATCTGTGCCCTCCTCCCAAAGTCCTTACTGAGAACCCCTACTCCTGGTCCCTACATCAGAGTCCTAAAATCCCTAGCTCCTTCCTTAGAAGCTCACTTGTGGGCATCCTTTCCTAACTCCTCTCATCAACAATTTTATCAAATCTTCCTTCCCATCCCAGGAGCCATTGTCTCACATCCTCTTCTCCAGCTTGGATGGATTTGATTTGCTCCTGTAAAGATTGTTGTTGTTATTGCTGTTAAGTGTCGTTGTGTTGATTCTGACCCATAGCGACCCTGTAAAGGGTTTCCAAGAAGCAGCAGGTGAGCTTGAACCACCGACCTTGCAGTTCAAACTGCTTTGCAGTTGGGTGCATTAACCCACAGCACCACACCAGGACTCCCCTGTAAAGATTACACTCTAGAAAATCCTATGGGCACCTCTACCCTGTCACATGGGATGACTATAAATTGAAAATCAACTTTAGGGCACCTAGCAACAATAACCACAATAGCACAACAATAAAACAAGTAATGGTGGGATGACAGACCGTGCGGGAGATGCTTTTGAACCCAGGACTTTTGCTTCATCCCCAACCTGGCTGCAAAGTGGTTGCCTGCTCCTCCTAACCCCCAGCCAGATCCAACACTTGCCCTCTTCCTCAACCCACCAAGAAGGGAGAATGGGATATCAACCAAATCTTTTGCCATCTTCCAAGGAGATGAATGACAGGGGGTGGTTCCAAGGAGATCTCCTACCTACTCCCCTGGAAGAAGACAGCTGTCTGAGTCGTGCTCATTTGAAAGCATTTTAGTAGCCAGCTTGCAAGAGAATTTTACCAGTACTCACAGTCTGAGGTGGAGCTCCACCAACTGCGTTTCTCCACATTTAGTAGCCCAAGACATAGTTACAGGCATGATGTTGGTTTCCTAAAAGAATACAAAACAAGAATTAGAAAGCTGTATGCTTAATCATTTCTTTGTTTTTAAGCTACCCACTAGCCAGTCCAAGAAATCAAACGATGTATTACAGTCAAGAAACCAAGCAATGTATTGCATTGGGCAAATCTGCTGCACAAGACCAGAGCACAGATGTCAGTTTGAGGACTAAAGTGTGCCTGACCCAAACCATGGCATTTTCTATAATCTCATATACATGACATTTGGACAGTGAATAAGGAAGACTGTAGAAGAATTGATGCATTTGAGTTATGGTGCTGGAAAAGAATAGTAAAAGTACTATGGACTGACAGAAGAACAAACAAATCCATGTTGTAAGAAGTACAGCCAGAGTGCTCCTTAGAAACTCGAATGGCAAGACTTTGTCTCTCAAACTTTGGGCATGTTGGAATCAGAAGAGACCAG